GTCTTTCACTTAATGACAACAGCATTTTTTGCTGTTTGCGTTCAACTGCAATTTGCATTTTACTAATTTATTGCACCGACTCATATTATATACCGTTTTTTAAAGGACAGAAAGGGCTTTAATTTGATGTAACACACACACACACATATGCTTATTTATTATAACAAAATACAGAAAAATGCACACAAAAAAAGAAAATATTTGTGTTTTTTTTACAGTTTTTGCAATAATGATGTGTGCATAATTAGTGCAGATTAAGGAAAGTAATTAAAAATAAATTCATTTAGTTGTTCTGATTTACAGAATATATAATGTGTCTGGGATTTTCAGTATTTTTTTGGTAGTTACAGGTCACAAAGCACAAGGAGTAAAATAAACTTTTAATGTTTAGCGATTTTAGAATTTGGTATGTTTGTCTTGTAAGCTTAATAGCCATAAAAGAAATCAAAATTGCCACATAAAAGTATATATTTATATAAAGTAGACATCACAGGCTATTGTCCTAAGGTTGTTTTGACACTTTCTACGTAGCCATTTCACCGCCAACCTCTGCTAAATATTGGAGTAAAATTGTGTTTTTTTTATTTTTGGCACACAAACTTATAACAAAGAAATTCTCATGTGTATTTTGTAATGTTGGTCTGTGCTATGCCTGTACAAAGCTTAATTTTGTGTTCAGTTACATCTGCTGAGTAAAATGACACCCCCATTGTATGACTTTGGCACTATTTCGTGAAGCTACAGTGCCATATAGGAGACCTGTCCTTTTCAGTATTCACAGTAGAATTTTTGAGAGACGGATTTAATGGGCCTATGCTTCCATTTCGGGTATTTTAACAGTTTGGCTGTTCAAAAAAAAAACCACAAAGACCTACCATTTGTAAAAGTAGACACTCCAGGGTATCTCATAAGGTGCATATTGTGCCTTAACATGCCTCCATTTTGTCACCAATAGATGCCAAAGTATGTGGTAAAAAATAATTTTGTGTGTTTTTTACATATGGATTGTGTTTTTGCTGGGCATTTTGTATATTTTACATGTGCCACTAAGTTCAAACCCCCCAAATTATGCTCAACCTAGTCTTCTGAGTAAAATGACACCCCCATTGTATGTCTTTGGCACTGTTTCGTGAAGCTACAGTGCCAAATAGGAGACCTGTCCTTTTCAGTATTCACAGTAGAATTTTGAGAGACGGATTTAATTAGTCTATGCTTCCATTTGGGGTATTATAACAGTTTGACTGTTCAAAAAAACCATACAAAGGCCTACCATTTGTAAAGGTAGACACTCCAGGGTATCTCATAAGGTAAAGAGTAAAGAGAAATGGAACAACGATAGGACAAGCCGAGGTCAAGGATCAGAGAAGACAGGATAAACGAGAGACAAAGCCAAAATTTGGTAACCAATCAGACAGATGATTAAAAATCACACCCCAAAACTGGTCTACTTATTCGGCCTGGGTGTGAAAAATATTAAAAACAGTGGCCAATACATAGGCCGGGCTGAGAGGGGCAATCAGGGCAGTAATAGCTGGTCTCAGCTCTTACGTCCTCTTGTAACACACCCTGCACATTTTCTGGGTATTTTTGGGGGGGGGGGAGGGGTTGGTGGAATCTTAAAGCAGAAGTGACCTGCCTCCATTCTTCTGCTAGGCTCCACTGATGGTCTCCTTGTGTGGCACTCAAGCATCCCAGAAATTACCTCAAACTGGAATGAAAGAAAAGTGCTTTTCAGCCAAGCATTTTCCTTTTTAAAAATGACAAAGGCATTGTGCATTGCCGTCTGCATCAGATATATGCCCACTTTTTTATACCATGCCCTGGACTTTCGCATGATCAAATACGGCTGCATCAGTTGATCGGACAGGTCATCGCCCCTATATGCCGATTATATTGCCGTATGCAGACTGGCACCCGTTTACATTCCTCTCTGCCACAAACTGCGACCCTCCGAGTGTTTTCACCATGGATGGTGGTTAAGATGAAAACATCCTTTTTATCCCTGTACTTGCGTGCCAGCAGTTCATTCTGGCAGAGAGCTGCTGTTTCCCCCCTTTTCATTTTTTCGTTCGCTAGAGCCTTTGGGAAACCTGTGTGACTCTTCCGAATAGTGCCACAGGCCAAGGTCTCGAACCAGTACAACATTTTTAACAGTGGGATGCTATTATAAAAGTTATCGATGTATAAATGATAACCTTTATTAAGTAGTGGCATTAATAAGTCCCAGACAATTTTCCCACTTGTCCCTACTATATCTGGGCAACCTGGGGGATCAAGGTGGCTATCCCTTCCTTCGTATACACGGAAGGTGTATATGTAGCCACTGCCACTTTCACACAGTTTATAAAATTTGATCCCATATCGGGATCTTTTGGATGGGATATTTTTTCTAAACTCCAATCTTCCCTTAAACTTCATGAGGGACTTGACAATGGAAATTTTTTTATTGGGGTTATATATAGTGGCAAATTTACTGTTAAAGTGGGCAATTAGAGGGCGTATTTTATAAAGAAGATCATACTGCGGATCACCTTTTGGGGGGCACTTGTTATTGTCACTAAAGTGCATAAATCGCAGTATGTCATATCTTTCCCTCGTCATTGTCTTGGTAAAAATGGGGTATTGCAAATAGGATGTTTAGACCAATTGTGGGCTTTTTAATTAGCCCCATTAACATGGTCAGTGCCCAGAATTGTTTCAATTCTGGTACACTGGTTGGGTTCCATCTCTCTTTCCTGGAAATAAGAGAGTCTGGATTACGTGCCAGATACTGCTCCACATAGAGATTAGTCTGGGTGACTATCTCCCCAAAAATCTCATCCCCAAAGAACAGTTGCATAACATGCAGCGCACTATAGCCAGACAGGTCAGCCTGTATGCCAGGATTGGCTGTAAACACTGAGATGTCTGGGGAAAAATTATTAGGGGGTACCCAGTCATCTGCGCCATGTTCAGCATTAGGGTGCGTCACTCCCTGCGTCACTCTCTGAGGCAGTGTCTGTCACCTCTGAGTCGGCCGCTAACAGGGCATAAGCCTCCTCTGCACTATACTTGAACCCTTGAAAGTAAAAAAAAAAATAGATCACAGTGAAGTACTGCCTTTGTCATTTTAAAAAGGCAAATGCTAGCAGTGATCAAGCAGCAGGGAAAGGGTTATTTTTTTTTTTTAATAAAAGGGAAAGGGATTAGGAACTTTTAATAGAACTTAACTATTCTTCTGGGACACAATGTTGCAACGATCTGTCTCTCTCCACTTCACAAACCCACAAGAGGTGGAGGGAGGCGGATCAGATGTCCCAGCAGCATTGTGACCGCTGTGACTGGCTGTCACAGTGATCACATGGGCTGGGATACCGGGATTTGCTGTTGCTGGTCTGCCCCTGACTCGGAGACACCCAGCAACAGCGTTAACCCCGCAATCGCCGGCACCGCGGCGATTGGGGGTTAATTTTAACGCGTGACGGACAAGGTCAGTCACTCATCGTTAACGCTTTCCCCTGAGTGACGGACCTCGTCCGTCACTCATCGTTAAGGGGTTAAGGCTTCATTTTTGTTAAGGACTGAGCCAAATGTACATGTTGTGATCCAAACAAAACGTAAACAAAACCTGGACTTTGACTATATGTCTGTTCAACCGTAATTCACCTCTTTCATATTAAATGCACCCACACTTATTAGACATAATTTTATTCAGGGGAAACATGGCTTTCATTTAACATCAAATATTTAGCTTTGAAACATAATTTAAAATGAATAAAATGTAAAAAAAATGGGAGAAAATAAGAAATGTTATTTTTTTAGTTCTACGTTACATTTTAACTGTGAATGTCATAATACTGTTTGCTTTTACTGCAATAAAATACACATATTTGTATTCAGCGATGTCTCACATGTAAAACAGTAACCCCTATGTGCAGGGTTTATGGTGTTTTGGGAAATTACAGGGTCAAATATAGGATGTTACATTTTTCATTTTTTTGACATTGAAATTTGCTAGATTGGTTACGTTGCCTTTGAGACCGTATGATAGCCCAGGAATGAGAATTACCCCCATGATGGCCTACCATTTGCAGTAGTAGACAACCCACGGTATTGCAAATGGGGTACATCCAGTCTTTTATAGTAGCCACTTGGTCACAATCACTGGCCAAAGTTAGCGTTAATATTTGTTTGTGTGTGAAAAATGCAAAAAACTAATTTGAACACCAATTTTGGCAGGTGTTTGTGACTAAGTGGCTTCTAAAAATACTGGACATACTCCATTTACAATACCTTGGGTTGTCTACTATTGCAAATGGTATGCAATCATGGGGGTATTTCTCATTCCTGGGCTACCATACAGTCTCAAAGGCAACGTAACTAATCTGTCGCATTTTAATGTGAAAAAACTGAAATGCAAGCCTAATATTTGACTCAGTAACTTTTGAAAACACCATAAAACCTGTACATGAGGGGTACTGTTATACTCGGGAGACTTCGCTGAACACAAATATTAGTGCTTCAAAAAAGTAAAACGTATCACAACAATTATATCATCAGTGTAAGTGACATTAGTGTGTGAAAAATGCAAAAAAATTCACTTTCAATGTCGATATCATCGTTGTAATACATTTTACTGTTTTGAAAGACTAATATTTGTGTTCAGCGAAGTCTCCTGAGTACAACAGTACCCCCCATGTACAGATTTTATGGTGTCTTGGAAAGTTACAGGGTTAAATATAGTGCTAGAAAATTAAATTCCCTTGACTTTCTGCCTGGGTTGTCAGACAAGTCCCACAAATTGTAATTAACAAAATGACCTAATTATATAAAAATATTACATATATATATATATATATACACGTAGAATTAATATATTTATATATATATATATATATATATATATATAAAAGTTTATAAAATTGTTTTTATTTATATATAGGTATATATATATAGTGATATACGTATATACTTATGTATATATATATATATATATATATATATATATTAATTCATCCTACGTGTATTTTGATATCTCTCTCTCTCTCTCTCTATATATATATATATATATATATATATATATATATATATAGAGAGAGAGAGAGAGAGAGAGAGAGAGAGAGAGAGAGAGAGATCAAAATACACTATTGTAATTATTTACTTTTTGTTATTACTATTTTTTACGTATTTACACATTTATTTATTTTATATTATATAAAAATATTAATAATTATATATTTTTAATCAATACCATTCTAAGTGTATTTTGATATTAATATATATAATATATATATTAATATTAAAATACACTTAGTGTGTGTATGTATGTGTATGTGTATATATATACTTAGATCATATGTATAATATATATATATATATATATATATATATATATATATGATCTAAGTATATATTATTGAATTAAAAACAATTTTGAACTTTATTCCCCCTGCTGGCACTGCTATGGACGGCTATTCCGTCCAAGTGATCGTGAGGTCCTCGCAAGAACCTTGTGATCACAAGGCCCAGGAGGGCCGGATCGGCAGTAGGTTGACTTCCTGGGAGGCCAGGCAAGTCCCCCCTATCGCGATCACCTGCGTGGGATCGCCGGCAAACAGGTAAGTCCCTTGGCTTAGCACGCCCACAGTTCTTAAGGGTTTAAATAGCACCTAACACAATTTGCGTGGCTTTCAAACTTTACCATATTCTGAGAAATAATAATTACATGCAGGTTACACTTACTCTTTGCACTACATTAGTTTACTCAAGTCTATTAAGATCAGCCATTCTTACATCTGTTTCTGCAGTTGAACAAACATGAACACAACCCCCTCACCCCCCCAACCTTCCCCCAAACAAAACAGTTGGAAAACATTTGCAATTGTACCACAAACAGTGCACCTATTTCCCTCTTTATTCCAAAACGCCAATCAGATGTCTCACTGGTGTTATCACCTACATTACTTTTTATAGCCTGTAATATTCTGCTTTCCCAAAACATCTTTTTCATGTTGAAAGTTTGACAAAAGTTTATTTAAATGTGCATAGGGATTTGGTCTAGTGTGCAAGTAACTCTTTTCTTTGGCTTGTATTTTATGTATTTGGGCTGATGTGTACTGCAGTCATTGCTGCTGGCCAGGAGTAATGGAGCTTAATTTTGTATGTTTGTATTTGCTTTTTGTATTACACATGTTACACAACGCTTTTATCATTAAGGGATAACACGTGTGTAGAGGTTTATAGAACTCCCCCTCTCTGTCTCTTTAGAGAGTTTACCTTTTAGCTGAAAGCAGCAAGGTTAATTGTTAGCGCAGGACTCACCTAAGAAGTTTTGCCTTGATGTGGCAGATGAGCTTACACTTTAATGGCCATTGGAGTAATACTAAAAAAAACTCCAGTTATTTAAATGTGCATGGGATGTTGCTCGAGTAACTTTTTTCCTTGCGGTTTAGAACATTCTCCTTTTATAGCAACTCATACTCTGCAGCCACTTTATAACATCAGTGTCAATTTGGGTGGCAAATTATAATTTAGTTTTAGTCATAGTCTTTTTGACTAAAAAGCCATTTTAGTTTTAGTTCTATTATGGCACTTGCATTATTTTAGTTTAGTTTTAGTTGATTAAATCGCCAGTAGATTTTAGTCAACACAACGAAAATCGAATGGGTTATTTAAAGCCTCTCTCTGTCTCTTTTGCCCCTTCCCCAGCCCCTCTGTGTCTCTTTGTGTCCTCCCAGCCTCTCTAGGTGTCTCTCTCCCAAGGCCTGGTCTGTCTCTTTTGCGCCTTCCACACCCCATCTGTGCAGTGTTAATTTTGCTGGCAAATTTCCATTTAGTTTTAGTCATAGTATTTTGACTAAAATGCAATTTTAGTTTCAGACGTATTTTAGTCATCTGATTTGTTTTAATTTTAGTCTAGTTTTAGTCGACTAAATCTCAAAAATGATAGTCAACTAAAATTGTTAGTCGACAAAATTAACATTGGTTAACTCAGAGCATTCTGTTGAAACAGGAAAGCATTACTCAAATGATTACCACCACAACCAGACTGTTGGCATAATGGGCCTATGTAGTTTAAGTTTTCTATGAGAATAATGGCTTGTTAGCAGATCCTCAGCCACTGGCCTTAAGTAGCAGAACCTAGTGACTATCAATTACTACTTGGGAAACTTGACTGTTGATAAGTAGCCCCTACTCATTTTTAGTAACGACAAGTATTTTAGCAAGTAGTGGCTGGTCAGTAAAAAAGTAGCGACAACACTTGATATAAGTCCTTAGAGTTTAGTGGATAATCCTGTGCCTATACAGTCTAACACATAAATGGTATGTTTACATTACATGTATCAAGAGCAAAAATATATTTTTAAATGGTTCAGTTAATCTGTATTAACAAATAATACCAATGTGTCTGTGTACATACTACAGCCACCCTGTTCAATGTCAAAACTGCAGGAGGTGCTGCTAAAACTCCTTAAAATAAACCTTTATACTTAGCGTAGATAAAAAAAAAAATAAAGAATTCTTTGTTTTACTGAGTAATCGCTGCAAAAATAAAAATTGTGCAAGTTATGGTGCCTGTCTTTAATAATAAATTATCTTGATTTTCTATTTTTCTTTGCATGGCAATGTGCATCGTCAAAGCTATTTCTGGCACTGATATACTTTATCTTAATTCCTTGAATCCATTTAAGTACATTAAAGTGAAATGCAATTGTACAAATTCTGCTTGTTTTTACATTTCTATCAGTGTTAGTGTCAGTCATGGAGTTTCCAGCCTAAACCATTCTCACAGTCTCAGTCCTCCTCTCTGTGCATTCCACATTTTTAAATAGGACTTTGAGAAATGACTCACCTGTGGGTATCTGAGATTTGAGAAAAAGAGAATGGGTCAGTATTTTGCAATCTGCTATTTTGCAATTTAAAAAAAATAAAAGCAACAAAATATAGCATAAAGGTAAAACTGGTCATAAATAGTATATTTAAAAAAACTTTTCTAAAAGTTCAATATTTAATATTAAAACTACACAAATGAACACAATTTTTTTTATATCTTCTTTATTGAGATATTGATGTATACAATAATGACATCATTACAATAAATACTTTAACATTGTTTTCACATATGTCATATGTCTTACATCAGGTAATTTGTTATAAATGGAAAAAGAACATATTATTGTAGTATTTTAATATTTAAAGGACCACCATAGTGCCAGGAAAACATACTCGTTTTCCTGGCACTATAGTGCCCTGAGGGTGCCCCCACCCTTAGGGTCCCACTCCCGCCGGGCTCTGGGGGGAGGAAGGGGTTAAACGTACCTCTTTCTCCAGCGCCAGGCGGGGAGCTCTCCTCCTCTCCTCCCTCTTCTTCTGTCACCGGCTGAGGGCGCATGCGCGGCAAGAGCCGCGTGCGCATTCAGCCAGTCCATAGGAAAGCATCCTCAATGCTTTCCTATGGACGCTGGCGTCTTCTCACTGTGATTTTCACAGTGAGAAGCGTGGAAGCGCCTCTAGCGGCTGCCAATGAGACAGCCACTAGAGGCTGGATTAACCCATAGGTAAATATACTATGTTTATAAAAAAAAAAGGGTTAAACCTAGCTGGACCTGGCACCCAGACCACTTCATTAAGCTGAAGTGGTCTGGGTGCCTAAAGCGGTCCTTTAATACTAACATAATTGAACTGGATATGTGTTAATTCTTGTGGCTTAACTCATCAACATAATGTGCTTTTAAATATTTGTTTTCCCTTTTTCCAGGTCATGGATAGTCCTAGTAACTGCTTCTCATGAAGGGATGTTGGCTCAACTGAAGGTTGAGGAGGTTAGGACCTTGCATAAGATATGTGCCACAGTTATAATAAGTGCACTGTATATGCTTCTACATATTTGAATGATCATAGAACCTAGTGAAAATACAGTTTTGATCTTGCAGGAATTACAGTCAATGAGGTCCAATTTTTTGGGACCAGCATAATTTTTTTCCCCACGAATAGCATTGCATCTTGGGCTTTTTTCTTTTTCATATATTTTTCTGGTGTGTATTTTTTGACTAAGTATCTGAAAAGACAATCTCACAGGAGGGAGGATTATAGAAATAAAAGCAGATAGTAAATTGCACTTATTAATTCGCATCAGCCCCCATCACGAGTCACATTTGTTTCTGCTGAGGAGCTGGAGGCCCATTTAATAGAAATAACATCTCTAGAGGTTTCCCATTTTTCCAAGTTTATTTTAATGTTATTGTGCTCCAAAACGTGGCTGTAAAACGGTTTACTTGGAGAAAGCAAAATCTCCTCATGAAGAATTTCTTCTTTTTGGCATTGGTTTTTGGTTAATGGTCTTCACATTTTTATGTGTTCTCCAGTTATGTTATAAAATTAACGTGACTCCACATCTCATTTTAGTTCTCTCTTTTCTCATATGAGTTATCAGATGCACGTACCATATCTAAACCCTTCCATCACCTGAAGGTGCTAGAGTTTGGGACAAGTGCTATGGAGGTAGTGATGATGCAAGCTATTCTTTGCACCTGGAGGCACTGCACTGGGCTGCTGAAAATAATATAGTAAAAAAAATAATACCAATTTTACATATCAATAACATACAAAAATAACCACTAGAAGCAAATGTATAGCAATTTTACATATCAGTACAACTTTTTAATTAACTATGGAATAGAGAAACAGAGGAAGTAAACAAGCATCAATAAGGTGACGTTACACTAAAATAGATAAGGGGCATAATTATGTAGAATAAGAAGTAAAGAAAGAATCTGTCTTGGCATAAAATTAAAAGTCTTCCATTTATTAAATGGCAATCATAGAACATCTAAATGTTCTTTCAAAAATCAAGCAATAAATACATTACTGCTCACAAATGTGGACTATCGCAGATGTTCATGAAATATGGCACAAAAGTGACCCAGATGATACACCAGATAAATAGATTTAATACCTCATGCAACTTATAAAACATAATATAAAATGCAACCCTTGGGCTAGTATGTAAATTAATAAAATAAAATAATAAAAAGGCTGTGGGGAGAAAGGCATATTAAAACTCTGTTCATGATGTTTTAAACTGGAGAACAGCTGTTTTAGTCTACCATATACCTAGTAATTTCTCAATCACGTTAGACACATTT